TAGGTTTAGGATTAGAGCTAGGGTAAGAGCTCGGGCTAGGGTTAGGGCTAAGGATAGGGTTAGAGCTAGGGCTATAGGTTAAGATTAGGGTTAGTGTTAGGGTTAGGGTTAGGTTTAGGGTTACGGTTACGGTTAGCGTTAGGGTTAGGATTAGGATTAGAGCTAGGATAAAAGCTCTGGCTAGGGTTAGGGCTAAGGATAGGGTTAGGGTTAGGGCTAGGTTATATGTTAGGATTGGGGTTAGTGTTAGGGTTAGGATAAGGGTTAGGGTTAGAGCTAGGGTTAGGGTTAGGGTTAGGGTAAGGGTTAGGGTTTGGGTTAGGGTTTGGGTTAGGGTTAGGGTTAGGGTTAGGGTTAGGGTTAGGGTTAGGGTTAGGGTTAGGGTTAGGGTTAGGGTTAGGGTTAGGGTTAGGGATAGGGTTAGGGTTAGGGTTATGGTTAGAGCTAGGGTTACGGTTAGGGTTAGCGTTAGAGTTAGGGTTATGATTAGGATTAGGATTAGGATTAATATTAGGGTTAGGGTTAGGGTTAGGGTAGGATTAGGATTAGGGTTAGGGTTAGGGTTAGGGTTAGGGTTAGGGTTAGGGTTAGGGTTAGGGTTAGGGTTAGGGTTAGGGTTAGGGTTAGGGTTAGGGTTAGGGTTAGGGTTAGGGTTAGGGTTAGGGTTAGGGTTAGGGTTAGGGTTAGGGTTAGGGTTAGGGTTAGGGTTAGGGTTAGGGTTAGGGTTAGGGTTAGGGTTAGGGTTAGGGTTAGGGTTAGGGTTAGGGTTAGTGTTAGGGTTCGAGTTATGGTTAAAGCTAGGGTTAGGGCTAATTTTAGCGTTAGAGTTAGGGTTAGGATTAGGATAGGATTAGGATTAGGATTAGGGTTAGGGTTAGTGTTTGGGTCAGGGTTAGGGTTAGGGTTAGAGTTAACGATAGGGTTAGGGTTAGGGTTAAGGTTAGGGTTAGGACTAGGGTTAAGGTTAGGTTTAGGTTTATGCTTAGGGTTAGTGTTAGGATAAAGGTTAGGGCTAGAGTTAGGGTTAGGGTTAGAGCTAGGGTTACGTTTAGAATTAGGATTAGGGCTAAGGTTTAGATGAAGTTTTGGTTTAGGGTTACGGTTTGGGTTAGGGTTAGGGTTTAGAGTTAGGGTTAGGGATAGGGTTTCGAGTTAGGGTTAGGGATAGGGCTAGAGATAGGGATAGGGATAGGGTTAAGTTTAGCTTAAGGGTAGGTTCAGGGTTAGATCTAGTGTTTAGGTTATAGGTTTAGTATTAGGGTTAGGTTTAGGGTTTGGGTTTACCGTTAGGGTTAGAGGCTATCGTTAAGTTTAGGGTTAGGTTTAGGGTTAGAGTTAGGGTTAGGGTTAAGATAAGGGTTAGGATTAGGATTAGGATTGGAGCTAGTGTAAGAGCTCGGGCTAGGGTTAGGGCTTAGTTTATGTTTAGGGTTAAGGTTTAGGTTAGGGTTAGGGTTAGAGCTAGTATTAGGGTTAGGGCTAGGGTTAAGGTTAAGATTAGGGCTAGGGTTATGGTTAGGTTTAGGGTTAGGTTTAAGGTTAGGGCTAGGTTTAGGGTTAGGCTTAGGGTTAGGGTTAGGGTTAGGGTTAGGGTTAGGGTTAGGGTTAGGGTTAGGGTTAGGGTTAGGGTTAGGGTTAGGGTTAGGGTTAGGGTTAGGGTTAGGGTTAGGGTTAGGGTTAGGGTTAGGGTTAGGGTTTGGGTTAGGGATAGAGATAGGGATAGGGATAGGGCTAGTATTATGGTTAGGGTTAGGGTTAAGATAAGGGTTAGGATTATGGTCATGGTTAGGTTTAAGGCTAGGGTTAAGGTTAGTGTTATGGTTAGAGATAAAGTTAGGGTTAGCGTTAGAGTTAGGGTTAGGATTAGGATTAGGATTATAGCTAGTGTAAGAGCTCGAGCTATGGTTAGGGTTTAGTTTATCTTTAGGGTTAAGGTTTAGGTTAGGGTTAGAGTTAGGGTTAGGGTTAGGGTTAGGGTTAGGGATAGGGATAGGGTTAAGGTTAGGGTTAGGGTTAGGGTTAGGGTTAGGGTTAGGGTTAGGGTTAGGGTTAGGGTTTGGGTTAAGGTTAGGGTTAGGGCTAGAGTTAAGGTTAGGGTTAGGGCTAGGGCTAGGGTTTAGATGAGGTTTAGGGTTAGGGTTAGGGTTAGGGTTAGGGTTAGGGTTAGGGTTAGGGTTAGGGTTAGGGTTAGGGTTAGGGTTAGGGTTAGGGTTAGGGTTAGGGTTAGGGTTAGGGTTAGGGTTAGGGTTAGGGTTAGGGTTAGGGTTAGGGTTAGGGTTAGGGTTAGGGTTAGGGTTAGGGTTAGGGTTAGGGTTAGGGTTAGGGTTAGGGTTAGGGTTAGGGTTAGGGTTAGGGTTAGGGTTAGGGTTAGGGTTAGGGTTAGGGTTAGGGTTAGGGTTAGGGTTAGGGTTAGGGTTAGGGTTAGGGTTAGGGTTAGGGTTAGGGTTAGGGTTAGGGTTAGGGTTAGGGTTAGGGTTAGGGTTAGGGTTAGGGTTAGGGTTAGGGTTAGGGTTAGGGTTAGGGTTAGGGTTAGGGTTAGGGTTAGGGTTAGGGTTAGGGTTAGGGTTAGGGTTAGGGTTAGGGTTAGGGTTAGGGTTAGGGTTATGGGTTAGGGTTAGGGTTAGGGTTAGGGTTAGGGTTAGGGTTAGGGTTAGGGTTAGGGTTAGGGTTAGGGTTAGGGTTAGGGTTAGGGTTAGGGTTAGGGTTAGGGTTAGGGTTTTGGTTATGGTTTTGGTTAGGATTAGGGTTAGAGCTAGAGTTAGGTTAGGGTAAGGGCTAGGGCTAAGGTTTAGATGAGGTTTAGGATTAGGGTTAGGGTAAGGGTTAGGGTTAGGGTTAGGGTTAAGGTTAGGGTTAGGGTTAGGGTTAGGGTTAGGGTTAGGGTTAGGGTTAGGGTTAGGGTTAGGGTTAGGGTTAGAGTTATGGTTAAAGCTAGGGTTAGGGTTTATTTTGGCGTTAGAGTTAGGGTTAGGATTAGGATTTGGATTAGGATTAGGATTAGGGTTAGTGTAAGGTTAGGGTTAGTGTTAGTGTCAGGGTTAGGGTTAAGGTTAGAGTTAACGATAGGGTTAGGGTTAGGGTTAGGGTTAGGGTTAAGGTTAAAGTTAGGGCTAGGGTTAAGGTTAGGTTTAGGTTTATGCTTAGGGTTAGTGTTAGGATAAAGGTTAGGGCTAGAGTTAGGGTTAGGGTTAGAGCTAGGGTTAGGTTTAGAATTAGGATTAGGGCTAGGGTTTATATGAGGTTTTGGTTTAGGGTTACGGTTTGGGTTAGGGTTAGGGTTTAGAGTTAGGGTTAGGGATAGGGCTAGAGATAGGGATAGGGATAGGGTTAAGTTTAGCTTAAGGGTTAAGGTCAGGGTTAGATCTAGTGTTTAGGTTAGATTTAGGTTTAGTATTAGGGTTAGGTTTAGGGTTTGGGTTTACCGTTAGGGTTAGAGGCTATCGTTAAATTTAGGGTTAGGTTTAGGGTTAGAGTTAGGGTTAGGGTTAAGATAAGGGTTAGGATTAGTATTAGGATTGGAGCTAGTGTAAGAGCTCGGGCTAGGGTTAGGGTTTAGTTTATGTTTAGGGTAAGGGTTTAGGTTAGGGTGAGGGTTAGAGCTAGTATTAATGTTAGGGCTAGGGTTAGAGCTAGGGTTAAGGTTAAGATTAGGGCTAGGGTTATGGTTAGGTTTAGGGTTAGGTTTAAGGTTAGGGCTAGGTTTAGGGTTAGGTTTAGGGTTAGGGTTAAGGTTAGGGTTAGGGTTAGTGTTTGGGTTAGGGATAGGGATAGGGATAGGGCTAGTATTATGGTTAGGGTTAGGGTTAAGATAAGGGTTAGGATTATGGTCATGGTTAGGTTTAAGGCTAGGGTTAAGGTTAGTGTTATGGTTAGAGCTAAGGTTAGGGTTAGCGTTAGAGTTAGGGTTAGGATTAGGATTAGGATTGGAGCTAGTGTAAGAGCTCGAGCTAGGGTTAGGGTTTAGTTTATGTTTAGGATTAGGGTTTAGGTTAGGGTTAGGGTTAGGGTTAGGGTTAGAGTTAGGGTTAGGGATAGGGTTAGGGTTAGGGTTAGGGATAGGGTTAGGGTTAGGGTTAGGGTTAGGGTTAGGGTTAGGGTTAGGTTTTAGGTTAGGGTTAGGGTTAGGGTTAGGGTTAGGGATAAGGTTAGGGTTAGGGTTAGGGTTAGGGTTAGGGTTATGGTTGGGTTTAGGGTTAGGTTTAGGGTTAGGGTTAGTATGGGTTAGGGTTAGGGTTAAGATTAGGGTTAGGGTTAGGGTTCGGGTTAAGGTTAAGGTTCGGGTTAAGGTTAAGGTTAGGTTTAGAGTTAGAGTTAGGGTTAGGGTTTAGGTTAGGGTTTTGGTTATGGTTTTGGTTAGGATTAGGGTTAGGGCTAGAGTTAGGTTAGGGTAAGTGCTAGGGCTAGGGTTTAGATGAGGTTTAGGATTAGGGTTTGGGTTAGGGCTAGAATTAAGGTTAGGTTTAGGTTTATGCTTAGGGTTAGTGTTAGGATAAAAGTTATGGCTAGAGTTAGGGTTAGGTTTAGAGCTAGGGTTAGGTTAAGAATTAGGATTTGGGCTAGGGTTTAGATGAGGTTTCGGTTTAGGGTTACAGTTTGGGTTAGGGTTAGGGTTTAGAGTTAGGGTTATGGATAGCGTTAAGGTTAGGTTTAGGATTAGAGCTAGGGTAAGAGCTCGGGCTAGGGTTAGGGCTAAGGATAGGGTTAGAGCTAGGGCTATAGGTTAAGATTAGGGTTAGTGTTAGGGTTAGGGTTAGGTTTAGGGTTACGGTTACGGTTAGCGTTAGGGTTAGGATTAGGATTAGAGCTAGGATAAAAGCTCTGGCTAGGGTTAGGGCTAAGGATAGGGTTAGGGTTAGGGCTAGGTTATATGTTAGGATTGGGGTTAGTGTTAGGGTTAGGATAAGGGTTAGGGTTAGAGCTAGGGTTAGGGTTAGGGTTAGGGTAAGGGTTAGGGTTTGGGTTAGGGTTTGGGTTAGGGTTAGGGTTAGGGTTAGGGTTAG